GTAACTCCTCTGCCCAGTGTGTGTGTGTGTGTGTGTGTGTGTGTGTGTGTGTGTGTGTGTGTGTGTGTGTGTGTGTGTCTCCTGGTGCATTATGGGACATGTAGTCTGGTCTTATAACTCCTCTGTCCTGTGTCCTGTGTGAGCTGATAGGAAACATGTTTGGTGGATGTGTTTGTAGTGCAGAGCCTCCTGGTGCATTATGGGGGATGTAGTCTCATCTGATTTCTATCTTTGTGGTTTAAATGTGTTTGGATTTTTTTTTTCTTTTTTTCTGACAGTAGTGGAATTTTGGAAAAGTTGGGCTTAACATATTTTATTGCTATTTTATTTGCTTTAAAGTGATTTTGAAATGATTAAGGATTACTCCGATTCTTGAGCTGATGTTCTTAAAGCCCCTGAAGTTTAAACAAAAATTATGCTCTTTTCTATTTTTTATTTATTTTTTCTCAAAAAGGAGACAAAATAAATGAAAATAAATAAATAAATAAAAAGCACAAACAAACAAACAAACAAAAAACATGCATTGATTGCCCTGGACGAGTGTTGTTTCCATGGAAATGTTGTTCCTTTGGCTATAATCTTTTCACAGGTTCAATTTGAAACATCTGAGACTCAAATCTGAACTTTAAACTCCAAAAATCCCACGTATTTTAGAGCATGTTTATAGAGCTCTAAACCAGGGCCAGGTATCATTAAAAAATACACTGATACCAAAAAAATACTCTTGGTAATTTATCAATACAGCAAACCAGAATATTGATACTGCATCATCACATTATACAATACGGCATATCGATATTTCGATTTTTTTGCACACATGGGGAGGGCACCTGACACACATGGGGAGGGCACCTGACACACATTGGGAGGGCACCTGACACACACAGGGAGGGCCTCTGACACACACGGGGAGGGCACCTGACACACACGGGGAGGGCACCTGACACACACGGGGAGAGCACCTGACACACACGGGAGGGCACCTGACACACACGGGGAGGGCACTCTGACACACACGGGGAGAGCACCTGACACACACTGGGGAGAGCACCTGACACACACAGGGAGGGCCTCTGACACACACAGGGAGGGCCTCTGACACACACAGGGAGAGCACCTGACACACACAGGGAGAGCACCTGACACACACAGGGAGAGCATCTGACACACACAGGGAGGGCCTCTGACACACGTAGAGGGCATCTGACACACATGGACGGGGAGGGCATCTGACACACACACAGGAGGACACCTGACACACACAGGAGGGCACCTGACACACACAGGAGGGCACCTGACACACACAGGGACATGTATTTGTCACAGAGGACAGATGATTCTAAAGCGTCTCTGTTGTTTTTTGTTCACTCTGAGCGTTCAGTTGGTGGTTTGGATTTACGTGCTCATAAATCTCGATAATTTCAAGTCAGTTTCTTGATTTTAAATGAACGTAAACGACCCAAACGACACACACACACACACACACACACACACACACTCTCCTCTGGACACACTCTCTTACGTAACCTTAGCGACGCGTTTCAATTTGGGTCCGTTAAAATGTTTGCTCACTCCAGTTTAATGTTTTACACTTTTTCACTTCAAACTGTCCACTCCGTCTCTCTCTCTCTCTCTCTCTCTCTTTCTCTCGGTCCGTCTGTCCCTCTTTCCCTCTCTCCTCTGCAGCAGTTCATTTAGAACACTTTAATTAAAACATACACCAAAGAAACGAATAATTAGGGAGCAAAATAAACGACTTTTTCCAGCGCTGGTCTTTCATTTAGACTGTAAAGAGAGATGGAGAGAGAGGGAGGAGAGAGTGGAGAAAAGAGAGCGAGAGAAACTGAGAGGAGGTGAAAAGAGGGAGGAGAGAGAAAGAGAGAGGGAGAAAAAAGAGAAGAGGAGAGGTGACTGAGAGTGGGAGAGAAGGGGTGAGGATGAAAAGTGGAGAGAGAAGAGGAGAAGAGACTGAGAGAGAGAGAAAAAGAGAAAGGGACAACAGAGAGAGAAGGGTAGAGAAGGAGAGTTGGAAATGTAAAAAAAAAGAGGAGGGCCGATGGAGAGAGGGGGAGAAAAGAGATAGAGAGATGATGGAGAGAGAGATGTTTACTTACTATGGCTGAACTTGTGCAGTTTGTTCCTGGTTTAGTCCTGATATAGACTTGGTTTGATCCTGATTTAGTCCAGGTTTAGTCCAGGTTTAGTCCAGATTTAGTCCAGATTTAGTCCAGATTTAGTCCATCTTAAATCCAGGTTTAGTCCAGGTTTCATCCATTTTAAATGAAGGTTTAGTCCAGGTTTAGTCCAGGTTTATTTCATGTTTAGTCCAGGTTTAGTTCATCTTAAATCCAGGTTTAGTCCAGGTTTAGTCCAGGTTTAGTCCGGGTTTAGTCCTGGTGAAGTTGGTGTCATATTGAAGTGTTTAATTCCACATCAGTTCATTTTTCTGTGGAGTAAAAAGAGCTGGAGTTTCATCAGTCTGTTTTTAGTTTGGTTTGGCTGCTAAAAAAAACAAATGATTTTCTATTTTCAGTGAACTGTTGAAATGTCTCTGCTCTCTCTTTCACGCACTCTCTCCATCTCTCTCCTCCCATAACCTCTCTCTCTCTCTCTCTCCTTCTCTGCCTTTTCCATCTCTCTCTCTCCTCCTAACCTCTCTCCTTCTCTGCCTTCCTCTCTCTCTCTCCTACTGTCTCTCTTTTTCCTTCCATCTCTCCCTCTCTATCTCTTCCTCTCTCTTGTTCTCTCCCTCCCTCTTCTCCATCCCCCCTCTCTCTTTCCTTCTTTCCTTCCCTTCCTCAGTTGCTTTCTCTCTCTCTTCTCTCTCTCTTTCTCTCCCTCCCTCTCCTTCCTCTTTCTCTCTCTCTCCCCTCTCTCTCACTCATTTGCTCCTCTCTCTTTCTCTCTCCCTCCTCTCTCTTTCTTTCTGTCTATCAAGGAAGAGTAGGGTACTCTTCCTCTCTCTCTCCTCCCTCCCTTCTTTCTCTCTCTCCCTTCTCTTTCTTTCTCTCTCCCTCCGCTCTTTCTTTCTATCTCCCTACTCTTCCACTCTCTCTCTCTCTCTCTCTATCCCTCCTCCCTCCCTGTCCTTCCTCTCCCCCCTCTTTCTCTTGCTCTCTTGCTCCTCTCTCCCTCCTCTTTCTTTCTCTCTCTCTCCCTCTCTCTCATTTTTTCTCTCTCCCTCTGATCTTTCTTTCTATCTCCCTACTCTTCCTCCTCCCTCTCCCCCCTACTCCTTTTCTCCCTCCTTCCTCATTTCTCCCTCTCTCTCTCTACCTCCTCTCTCTCCCTCCCTCCTCCTCTCCTCCGCGCTCTCTCCATTCCTCATATTAATCCTGTGCCTGCAGTTATATTCAGATCTAATCCTGAGAGCTTTAAACAGCAGGCCGCTCTGATACTGCAGCACACACACACACACACACACACACACACAGATGGGTTTAATGAAGACATTTTACACCCAAACACAAAGAGAAAGAGAGACGGAGCGAGGGAGCGAGGGAGCGAGGGAGCGAGGGAGGGGAAGAGAGAGCAGGGCCGGTCGGACGGAGGACAGAGGAGATGTAGAAAAGTGTCCGTGTGTGATTCTGGGGTTTGTTTGCAGATCGCGTGTGTGGGCTGACGCTTCTGTCGACTCACTGAACTGTTACTTTATTCGCTCTCTCTCCACACTCAGGGGGAAGTGTTTTGCTCAAGGACACAATGGCAGCATGCGTTAGTCAGAGCTGAGATTGAAGCGAGACACTTTTCACGTTTGGTGCAAGTCCAGTTGGTTTAGTTTCAGTCGTGTTGTGTTTTACAGTTGAAAATGGTTGTGTGACTTTTTTGACCTGGTTTTAAATTTTGGAAAACAAACAAATAAACACACAGCTGTGGGTGGAGATAGGGGGTAGGTGAGATCTGGGATTTTCTGAGCTCTCAAGCCTAAAATGCAGGACAATACAGGATCAGACAGAATAGCCAGAATAATCACGTTCATGGTCTGTAGTCCAGGTCTGGTCTACGTCTAGTCCAGGTCTGGTCCAGGTCTGGTCCAGGTCTGGTCAGGTCTGGTCCAGGTCTAGTACAGGTCTAGTCCAGATCTAGTCTGGGCCTGGTCCAGGTCTGGTCTGGGTCTAGTCCAGGTCTAGTCTAGGTCTGGTCTGGGTCTGGTCCAGGTCTAGTCCAGGTCTGGTTCAGGTCCAGTCTGGGTCTGGTCTAGATCTGGTCCAGGTCTGGTACAGGCCTAGTCCAGGTCTAGTCCTGGTTTGGTCCTGGTCTGGTCCTGGTTTGGTCTGGTCTGGTCTGGTCCAGCTCATCACACTGGGAGTTTTTAGTGTTTTGTCTGTGGGTTTGTGTCTGATCCATTATCAGCCGATGTGAATCCAGGACACACTCAATAATGGATCAATGAGAGAGAGAGAGAGAGAGAGAGAGAGAGAGAGAGAGAGAGAGAGAGAGAGAGAGAGAGAGAGAGAGAGAGAGAGAGAGAGAGAGAGAGAGAGAGACAGAGAGAGAGAGAGATGTCACTCGTCTGTCCGCTGCTCTGTGCTGTGTTGATGAGTGTGTGAGTGAAACAGACCAGAGGAAGAGACGAGTCTGACACTGAACCAAAGAAATGGAACAAAAACTGATGGAGAGAGAGAGAGAGAGAGAGAGAGAGAGAGAGAGAGAGAGAGAGAGAGAGAGAGAGAGAGAGAGAGAGAGAGAGAGAGAGAGAGATGAAGAGAGAGAGAGAGAGAGAGAGAGATGAGAGAGAGAGAGAGAGAGAGAGAGAGAGAGAGAGAGAGAGAGAGAGAGAGAGAGAGAGAGAGAGAGAGAGAGAGAGGAGAGAGAGAGAGAGAGAGAGAGAGAGAGAGAGAGAGAGAGAGAGAGAGAGAGAGAGAGAGAGAGAGAGAGAGAGAGAGAGAGAGGGAGATGAAGAAAGAGACATGTGGGTGATAGAGAGTGAGAGACATGAGGGTAGAGAGAGAGAAAGAGTGAATGAGAGAAAACATAAGAAAAAGAGAGAGAGAGAGAGA